AATCCGCGTATTGAGATATTTGGGCTCTCTGAGATTTTTGAGATTTTCGGCATATTTGAGGTATTTGAGATATTTGTTCAGTATGCGTAATCCGCGTATTGGGATATTTGGGCTGTCTGAGATTTTTGAGATATTTGAGATATTTGCTCAGTAAGCGCAATCCGCATTTTGAGATATTTGGTGCATGTGAGATTTTTGAGACATTTGCTCATTATGCGTAATCCGCATATTGCGATATTTGGGCTGTCTGAGATTTTGGAGAATTTTGAGATATTTGAGAGATATGAGATATTTGCTCAGCATGCGTAATCCGCGTATTGAGATATTTGGGCTGTCTGAGATTTTGGAGAATTTTGAGATATTTGAGAGATATGAGATATTTGCTCAGAATGCGTATAATGTGACTTTCTTTAAATCAAATACTATCTGATATTGATGCTAAACGTGAAAAACATAGCATAGACGGAAATTTAATAGAAATCAGAGATGATCGAATGAGTTTTAGACCACTGTTTTCTATGTCACATTCATAGAATTACCATTATTTTTCCAAAGATCTCCGACTAGTTATTTTCTAATCAGTCGATATCGGTGATAATACACTGAACTATGCAGTCAAGCATCCTTTTTCTAACGGTGAAAACCGCACCTCTCCATGTCGTTTCTATCAAAAGTTATCTAAAATCAAAGACTGCCCGGTAACTTCTGGACCACCCTGTGCTTTACGTGAATATTTACGTTGTTTTTTGGCATCACACGTCGTTCTTTTTTGTTGGAATCTTCCGAGAATTTTTATTCATCGCTGACTCACATCAAACGTTTCTATGGCATCTTTTTCTACTTCTATTTCTTCTCTTTCTCCCTATAAATATGCGCCATATCCCTAAGAAACTATTCCTTCGTTTTCATCACATATATTAAGTTGCGATTAGCGTAGGTAGTATCGAAAAACAGCGTCACAGCAACGACTTCTTATTTAGAAATAACAGAACTGCGTAAAATGTTTTGATCGAGTGTTAACCCGTTAACTGTTATTGACGGATATATTCGTCAACGACATTTCTTAAAACGAGCTGAAGATGTCAAATCCTCTGTTTCATTTTCTTTGCATACGTGATGTCCGACAGTGAGCTCTCTCACACTCTCAACCTTGTCTGTAAGAGAGAGAGTGGATGAACACTCCTCGATCATGCATATGAAAAAGAAAAGGAAAAAAGACACCCTTCTCTGAATCAAACACACACATATTTTAGGAAAAGAGAAAGAATGGTATGATAGATGCCATTCTTTCATAAAAAAACAATAAAACATACCGGCATAGAATACGATGTGAACGAGAAGGAATATGTCCAAAAGTGACCTGCTGCAGAAGAGGAAAGAGAAACGGTAACGAAGACACTAGTCATCGCTAATACTAAGGTCGAGTCTCCTATGAGCTGGATTGTTCCTAAATATTTTAGTGGTTATTTCACACCAGTCAGTTGCCTAATGCAAACCCTCAATTCTCTCCTCACAGAAGATGTGAATCGTAAAACTGTTAAAATCTCAACCGATGCAGCGAATTCAATCCCATTTATTTGCCGCTTTTCGTAAAAGGGACACATTTCATCAGAATTCCACGACAATTTTCTGGCTAGTTCTGTAATCTTGAGGTGAGATTATAATACAAGATTTGTAAAACACTGGAATAGTGTACCGAGCCAAAAAGCTATTGTATCAAATCTGTTCTCTTTCCATACGTTTTTAGGAATGAAGTATATGAGCATTCTGATTAGATCTAAAAGGAAGGCGAAGTGGAAAGCATTGACAAGCATACTACAAACTCATTATGAGTAGTCGAGTTAAGACCACCCCCTTCCAAAATTGATTTCTGGCTTATAATACTCCATATGAGTTGACATTTTCAGAATATGTTAGGGCTGCAGTGGAGAAGCTATGGTAAAATTTCCACCCCTACGTCACGTTATGCGACAGAGATATTAACCCAACAATGGTGAAAAATAGCTGATTTTTCGATGATTTTCCAAAAGTTCTGTTCCAAATTACTTAATATATTAAAGCTTTTCTTCGTTGGAAAGCGCGTGTCAAGATGCAAGACATGACGTTGTTCTTTTTTCTAATCTCTTGATTCTAATGTGCATAAGGTCATGGACCAATTAAAAGGCTAAAAAACTCGCTAAAAATGGGGGTTGTTTAGACTTATGTACCTGTATTTATAAGAAAAATAAACTTAATTTAATTCAAGGACAACGTCGTGCCCTGCATCTTGACACCCTCTTTCTGACGAAGGAAAAAATGTTTAGTGTACTAGGTAATTTGGGACAAAACTTTTGAAACAGCCATGCTTGTAGCCTGCACATTTCCGATTAAAATGACACATCTCCTGACTCTACATGACCTTTCTTTGCAAAGTTACAGAATTTAAAAGAAAAGCCCTCAATATTCATGTTCAACTCAAAGCTACAGAAATAAGAAGAAATTAATTTAGGGTTTTTCTTGTAAATTCTATAACTTTGCAAAGAAAGGTCATGTAGAGTCGGGAGATGTGTCATTTTAATCGGAGATGTGCAGGCTACAAGCATGGCTGATTAAGAAAAGTTTTGGTTGTTTTCCAGAAAACCGGATCTTCAAACCCCTAAGGGTAGCTCTTATATTCATATTCAGAATCAGCATCATCTATAACCTATAACTCGCTAGGTTTCGTTGAAAAAGCGAAGGGGCACTTAAAAGCGTCCTTTCGTAAGATCTTAGACAAATAAAAGCGAAATCTTACTAAAGTCTTAATAAGATTTTTCTAACATCTTACTAAGATTATACTGTCTAAGATGTTTTCAGAATTGGATAACAATCTGTTAGGATCTTAATAGTAAGAACGACGACGTTTTTTAAATAATATTCATTAGAGATATGCTGAAAAGTTTTCAATTGATCGTAGTTAAGGTTATTGTCCAATATAGTCTAAGTAATTGCGCAAGAATATATTCAAGGTCATTGCGTAGAGTCTGTCAAGATTATTGTGTGTATAATCCGCATTATCCAAAGCAGCAGCTAAAATGAAGAGATATTTCATATTTTCGGGTATCCAACTATGGACCTTGACCCGCATGTAAACTCTCTAAAAAGTTGTTGAACACTTTCGAGGGAGCAACAAGCACATCAATTATATACAGCACGACAAGCACGTAGGTTACTAGAATTGAAATATAAAGCATAAATCAAAAACAAGAAATATATCAAGATGCATTTGAACATTTTGGAAAAGCAACTGAAATAGCAATCCATAATCTTATGGTTTGAATGCGAATCGAAAAGTAATACACATTAATTTGACAGGCATCGATTGAGCTTTATAATGTGAGAAGTGGAAGTATGAGCCTTATGATAATAAACCAGATCCTGAACAGTTCTTGAGCGAATTATAAATAAATATGTAATGAAAATTTTATAGATTTTGTTTACTATAGGGAATTTCACGCACTTGCTTTGACTTTTTAAGAGACTAAAAGACTGTTCAGTTCTCACTAATCAGTCTTGGAGTCTGATCGAATTATATAAGAATTCATATTTTTTCCACAAAATTCCGAAAAAAATATGTTTCGAAAAAGTAATCAAGAAGAGCAATTATATCGAAAATCTTGCCTAGGAATGGAGATCTTTTATTCTAACTAAGTATTTTAAAATTTAAACTGTTTACAATTACATTTTCAAGTGTTTTAAGAGCGTAAATCGATCAGAGTTTGATTATTTTGTGTTCCTCATGTTGCTAATCCTAATTCAGTTTGACTAGGTTTTAAATTCAATTTAATATTTAGAATTAAAAAGCTTTAATTTTAATAAAATAACCTTTTTAAATTTTCAATATCAAATTCGTGATCAGCGTGAGAAACTGCATCTAATGATTGGTGTGTTTTGTCGATCAGTGGAAGAAGTTTGTCTGATCCTTCTCCGGACTGAATGATCAAGTATTTCACTGCAAACTGTATTTTGTATCAGCGTATAAATGGTTTAAATTTGATTATATCAATCTCAGGAGAAAAAATAAAATGACGAATGAAGAAGGAACGTTGCTATATGATGTCTTAAGTGGAAATTCAGAAGAAACATGTAAGAACAATAATAAAAGCATATTATTGTATACAACAATTCTTCAACTTTCTTAATGACATTAGATGTAGCAGCTGTTATAAATATATCTCACCAAGCGTAGTCATGCTATTCCAAGATTAATTACAATGTGAAAAGGTAACTAATTATTCTAACGATCATTTCATTAACGTTTTCAAAGAACATTCTCTCTTTCTGCTCCTGTTCAGACTTGCTGTCATGCATACATTCTAATCAAATTCCAAATGATGGCTTGAACACAACTCGTAACAGATTTACAAAGAACAATGGCAAACTGTTTAATTGATATTCATCTATATAAAATTCATCGGACAATATAGTTTACGGTATGCACAACTGTATAAAGCTGTGTTTTCAACACAGCTCACGAGACTAATGGATCATGTAATGTTGTTTGCAAACCCGAGCTTGTAAGAGGTGGAACAAGATGGATGAAGATATTAAAGAACTTTCTGGGAAAAGATAGAGATGGCAAAACATTGCATGTGATAGAAAACCAATCCCGTTGAGCTGCTTTTCTGTTTAAAAATTAGGCCGTGACGATATGTGTTTATCGTATTATAAATAAGACCTTGTATTAATGTAGCTATCCATCATAGCATACAAAAGGACAAGTAAGAAGGTGGTTTTTGAGAGGAAAATGTAAGCAGAAAGAAAGCATCATGAAGAATTGATGCGCGAGTGATACATAGTGAAGGTGGTATGTTTATCAAGGGGAAAATAACCTCCAATTTTGTTGTACACACTTAGAAGTGATTCTCACTTTGAGTGATACTTCATCACTTATAGTGTCACTTAGTCACTTAAAGTAACACTTAACTATTTTTAAGTGTTAGTTTATTTCATTGATTTTTAAGTTATTTGGAGTCAAATAGCTATTGTCGAGTAGAGCAGGATAATTCAACAATTGGTGCCAAAATACGCGTTGGTGTTAAACGAGATGATTCAAGATAAGCACAACGACAACGTTCACGACATAAACCAGATCCATTGAGAAGATGTTGCGTTAAAGTCGCCACCTAAACATTTACATATTTCTTTCCTGGTGAAAGAAATATATAAATGTTCAAGAAAATCAATTAGAAATTCTAATGATGGGGAACAGTATATGCCATCAAAAAGAAATCTGTCAGATGGTGTATGTAAACATATACCAATAAAATTTAGGTATTTTGAATGAAAATGTTTAGGGATAATAGCAGGTTCGTGAATGATTTCTTGTCGCACCCCTAGAAATACCGCGAATTTCGTTGGAGTACAATAGCACTGGTACTCCTGAAATTTGAAAAGAAAATTTTTGTGCTTCCTGTCTTCCACATTTTGTTTCCGTGAAAACAAAGATATTCGGGTTTTCTTTTTTGAATACAATGTTGTAAAAATAAGGAATGAGCCTTCAGTCGTCCAACATTAAGCACAAGAATAGAAAACGAACTTTCAGAGGTTAACACACAATTCTGTAGTTTATCTCTTACTTCATTGCATAACAATGAACAGGTGGAGTTGAAGTCTTCTGATGATGAAGAATCCCGTACTAGTTTTAGAATTTGTAATTTTAAATTATTGTTCATTTTGCCTATGATTACACTTTCTATTTCGCTATTTATCATTATCAGAAGTATACACAGCTCCGTATCAATTTTCTCTCTTGTGGAGTCGAGTTTGAGCCTTCGTATGATGTAGTATCGAATGAGTGTTTTAGTCATCTGAAAATACAGCATTCGGAAAAAATGACCGGGCAATCCACCAAAAGTTGATAATAAGCTTCAAATTATGTCATTCAGTTGGTAAGTGTCCATACTACTCGAATATAGAAATGAAAGTCCTGTATTGCGTCAAACAGAGAGAGTGGAGGGCAGTTCCGAGAACTTTTTGATCACCCTATGTAGCATAAAAGCCAGATCATCAGAGCACTGGACCACTGATACCGCATCTCTTTCAGCACTACCAGAATCAGCCCACCGTCTCTATACTAGCTACCTGCATTGGATTCAACGCATACGCTACACGAACACAACAAGTCACTTGCGTTCCATTCATGACAAGAACGACTGGTCGATGCCTATCATCGATCAATCATTACATCACGAATTGCCATTCTGAATCTATCGCCGAGTCCATTGTTCTTTCCCGACAGATTTCTGCATGTCAAGGTTTTCTTGATACTGATTGCTTAATTCTACCATTTAACTCCTGAGCGACTATCATTCCTAAACATGCCTGATGATGACTATCCAAGCAATAGTCGAAACGGTCGTCGAGTCATGCTTTGGAATCACTTGTCTATGAGAACTCACCTTCACCTTCGAGGGAACAAAGTATGATTCATACATTTATTCACTTATTTTTACATATAAGTTTATGTTTATATAATTTCCAATCCATAATTTGACATTCTTTTGAACAATAATGAGCTTGTTGACATTTGCCACAAACCTTTGATGCATTTGCTTTGTAACAACATCGACACATATTCAATATCCGTTCAGATTCACTTTGCATTACAATAGAAGAAAAGTCATCAACACGAACTGTTGGTTTCCTATCAGCTGCTCCTATTCGTAAATATGGATTGATAACATGCATTTTACTTCCAATAGTGTACATTTTACCGATTAAGTATTCACCATGTTCTTCAGGAAAACCATAAATGAGCATTCGCTCACAATCAAAATTTTCATCTTCGATTACCAGATGAATTGATGGAGTCCATGAGTATGCTTCTTCAATAATGGTTACAGTAAGCACATACCCATTATAAACTTGATCTTTTGTTGGATTCAATTCTCTCAATGTAATTAGTTTCAAACCAACTAATGAGTTGGCTGTTTGCTGTTTAATTCGCGGTTTGATACTGGTTGAGATAACCGTATGACCTCGATTATACTTTTCTTGTAATGTTTTACCCTCCCATTCGCGATGCTTTTGAATAACTTCCACTTTATGAGGATCAGTAAGACGTTGTTTACGTTTATTCACAGGAACTGATTCTGTATTTTGTTCAAGTCCCATCATATCAACCAGAGGCTTTATAAATGCAATATTTTCCGATTTATAAGGTAAAAAACATGGTAATTGTAGCTTCTCTGCCTCTTTGCCTTCCCTATATAGTTTGATGATCGCATCCATTGCAACATCAAGTGTGTATCCGTGCATATAGCAGATAGCCATTTCATAATATGCTTCAGGAATTTTGCGATGATCTTTTGGAGCAACTCTGAGAAATGTTTGATAGGCTTTGATTGCTTCATCCATATCGTTCCTTATGTGACGCAACAGAACAGCTCTATGATACAAAAGTTCGTAATTGTCCGGCTCTATCTCGAGTCCACAGTTAATATTATACAAACCGTCTTCAGGACGACGTAGAAATCCATTCGCTACCCCACTTATTAGGAAGAAATAGATTGATTTGGGATACTTTTGTTTACATGGGCCAAGAAATTGATCGATTAATTGATCTGAATTCAGATGTAATGCAGCATAACATAATCGAACATCTTCATCGATTTGCGAAGCGACAGACTTCGATTCTATAATACATCGGTCAAGTACTTGCTTAATTACTTCGCTGACTCTTTTATTCATTGCACATGGAATCTGAGCGACAATAGTTTCAATACGATAACACTGTGAAAGTTCATGAATAAATGTCTCTTCTTGTTCTTCGGTGAAACTATCATAATGCAACAGCATGTTTAATGCTTTTGCAAAATGATCTAAAGCAGCGCAAAGTTGTCGAGCTATTATTGAACCACGATTGGCATATTCCTTGAGCGTGTTATAATCTTTCATATATGAACATTCAGACACTACTGACGGGCTAATTTTCGCTTGCAATAAGTTAATGTAGTTGTTCACTGTCTTAATCCCGTCCAATTCAATCGATGAACGTTGTTGTAGTGCTTCTAATTTTTGTGTGAACTCATCACGATTCTGTTGAGCTACAACATTGCCAGATTCGCATGCTCGATCGTACCAAATTTTTGCCATTTGAAAATCATTTTTATTGAGCAGAATCTCTGCCAAAGTCAACATAGCAACAGGATCTTCTCTTCTCGCTGCCAATGCCAATAATTCCTCTCCTTTTTTGAGATTTTTATCAACCGCAAGGCCATCCAGATACATTGAACCTAAATTGTTGGCAGCCATAGCACTACCATGATCAGTGGCACGTTGATACCAGTAGACAGCTACCGATAGATTTTTGCGAACACTGATGCCTTCGAAATATCTTACGCCTAAAGCGTGTTCAGCTTCGGCCACACCAACATTTGGACAGCCTTTAAGTATCGAATGTTCTAGCGGTTGCTCGGCTGCTTGCTCAAGTAGTCTGAGAGCCAAACTATGGTCTTTCTTTACACCTAAACCACGATCAGTTAATCGAGCTAGATTATACATTCCTTCGGCGTTGCCCTGACTTGCTGCTTTAGCAAAATATTTCGCAGCTTGTTCATAGTCTTGTTCAACATCAACATCTCCAAGTTCATATTGATGTCCTTTCCATACGTCAGCTCCTGATGGATCATTTTCCTCGATCAAACGATGATAATTTCGTACCGTTTCTGGATCTGTACCAAATTTTTGTTGTAGTTCATTCAAAACTTCACGAATTGTTTTCGTGTACAGTCTTGGATCTAGATAATCTACTTGCGATTGTCGATGTAACACTATACGACTTTCATCCAATGCTGCTTGAATCTCAGTTTTTGTAGGATCAAGAGCAAATGCTCGTTCGAATGACTTGATTGCTTTTTCATGTTCATCTAAAGCAGCATGGACTTTTCCAACACGAAAATGTCCTTTCCACCATGTTGGCCAAAGATTTCTTGCTTGTTTGGCATCTTGCAATGCGCGATATCGTTCATCTTTTGCATCAAACTCA